TTTAATGGTTCTTATACATGTTAGAGTATACGAGTTACAGTTGAATAAAGGAGAAAACAATGTATCTTACCCAAATAATAATTTAGCATTTTAAATGTTTTCTTAATTTCCAGATTCATAGATATAAAATACAATAGTGTTCAGGTAGGAAATTGCATGCCTGTCGAGTTGCTAAGACTGAAATATTTAGGGATGGTTTTATAAAGCCAACAGAGACTTCCTACAGCAAGGCACTGCCTACAGCATGAAGAACATGTATTAGGTAGAGTTTGAGGAACAGTTCCTGACTACTGAAATGCATGTTAATTCCAAATGTGTGCATAGCAAATGCAGTTTGTTTTTACTTTAGCAAGATATTTTTGTTCTAAAAAGTAAAAACAAATATTCTGAAATTATGCCCAGAATTTTAATCTTAAAATTTACATTATGTTTATGTATGAGCACAAGGCACATAGCCTCCCGTTCAAATCTTTTCTGGATAAACGTTGCTCTTACTCTCATTCTAAAATTCATATGCGATTTCAAAAGAAACTTGGAGCTGGCGTTTCAGAATGCAAATCTTCTCTTAAAATGCACTGGAGGTTTTGAAACATAACTCAATTGTAGTTCAAATTTTATGGGCAAATGGTCAAAAATATGGGGTGGGGTGGGGCAACAAGGCTATGTATCCTACATCTGTAAGCTATTGAGAAGTGTCTATTGATAAACCTGTTATAGCTCTCATTTTAGAAATGAGAAACCAATGTATAAAACTATTTAGCAGTTATAGCCAACCAGGGAGAATTTGGATAGCCTCTTCTTCCAACATTCTTTTCCCTCTCAGCACTAGTAAGATGCCTGTCTTAATGGCACTCCATAGTGAATACTGTATTTTATCCTACATGGAATCAGCAACTTGTACAAACTGTGAACTACAGAGCGGTAGCCTGGTGCTGACACTGTGATGACCCCTGAAGAGAAGGTTGCCCTCCCGGTGCCTGGCCCGACTCTGACAGCCTGTGAGCACTTGCTGTAGTTAGCACCAGTGGTAACGAAATGTAAACACCTTTGCTTTCCAGCTGCTGCTAATTGGTTTGGGAATATTTGTGTAAGTGTTGATTTTAAAGCTAAAAATAGTGCAGTGCTGTTTAAATCCAACGCATTCTGGCTGTCATTAATGCTCTCACAATCCTGAAAGTGCTGCTAAAAATGTCCACTCTTTTTAAAATGTAGTAATTAAGCTTGTCTTTTTGTGAGGGCCACATATACGTTGTCTGATGTGATCAAAGCTGTGACGGATATGCTTAGGGTAGCCAGGCATGGTTGCCTGTTCAACATTGCTGGGAAAGAAAGGGCCATAATGTGGGAAAGCAAGACAGGCTTTACAACACCATCCTCTTTACATTCTAGGCAGCTCATCTTAACCCATGAGTTTAATATGGCATTAAAAATAGAAATTGCAATTGCTTAATTTTAGAAATTAAATATAGACCCTCCAGAGCATTGTGTTGCTATTTCTAGAGGCAAGTGATTCTAGAAATTATGTGATTCTTAAATCACATAATTAATATTTCTCCAACCTGGAGCTAAGGAATATGGAGGCTGTTTAGCACCCATTATGTCGACCTTTTAGTTAACCAGAGTTATTTTTGTCCCATCCTTCCAAATTTAAAAGTCAAGATTTTACAGATTTTTCTTCAAGTTATTTAAATAAGCTATGAGGGAATTTTTTTTCTCATTTTCATTTTTAGCTAGGTGTGAGTTCGTGACTCTTCATTTCATCATGTAATGGATTGAAAAAAAAGCTGGTGTGCTTTAATCATGTTGTGTCAATAATTCTGAAGTTTGAGGGTAAAGTGATTTTTTTTAAACCTGATAAGAGACAGCTGACTTTTCCTAAGTTTTCAAGCAATGCAATGTTAGCATTGTCAGTGTCAATTGCGTTGGCTTTATGTCTTTGTGGAGTGCCTCTAACATCTACCTTCCTGCCTCATCCCTAGGGGATACTAAAGGATCCTGATGTTGTAACATACAGAAGTGATTTTGGCAAGTGAAAAACACTGCCTGTAAGCCAAGATGATGTGCTGTAGTTTCTGCCTCTTTATGGTAGTTGTAGCTAGGCAAAGAGGATTTTGATGTTATTATCCATCTAAGACATATATTTGTGGGTGTGCTTGCAAAGGACACCACCATTAGAGCAAAAAGGTGGCTTACAGAATGGGGGGGGCGAAACTAGTATCTAGAATATACAAAGAACTAGAAAAACCTGAACCTCATGAAAACAAATAACCCAAATTAAAATCAGTATCTAGAACTAAGCAGAGAATTTTCAAAAGAAGAGACACAAATGGCTGAGAAATAGTTTAAACCCTTCAACAACCTTAGCTATCAAGAAAATGCAAGTTGAAAACACTTTGAGATTTCTTCTTGCCCCAGTCAGAATGGCCACAGTTAATACAAGATGAATGAAATTTTCAGGTTAAATGGATGAAGCTAAACATAACCATCCTGAGAGTGGTAACTCAGCCCCAGAAACACGAACACTACATGTTTTCTCTTATATGTGAATGTTAGCTTTTAAGAGTCAGGTATGTGTTTTATTTCATTTTAGTGATTTGTGTGTGGCAGTGTGGGAATGTGGGAATGTTCACAAGTCCCTGTGCACATGAGTGTAGAACACAGAATCAGTTCCCCAGATCTGGAGGTTAGGCATTATGAGCCATCTGACACAGGTGCTGGGAATTTACCTCAGGTCCTCTACAAGAACAACAAGCACTCTTAACTGCTGAGCTTCTCTCCACATGAAGTGTGTTCTCTTTAAGTGTGTAGTTGATATGATTACTCTGAAAATGGAGTCATCTCAGAATTTCCCTTGATCAGATTATTACACTGCAATTGGCCCTGTGTTAATTTCAAATTGTAATTGACATTTCCAAATTTATAGTACATCAAGTACAATGTTGATGTAAATAAAACCTTTACTTGTCATATAACTAAAACCAGATGGAAAACTCCTTAATCACCAGTAAGTTAATTAGGGCCAGAAAGTATATTCTTTCCTGCCATAGTTAGGGAGCAATAAGAAAATTCCACATGAAAGAGAGAGAAAACAGATAAAATAAAGAGCTAAAACTGTATACTGAATACTTTTTTCTTTGGCATTCTGGTGATATGTATGTGTGTGTGTGTGTGTGTGTGTGTGTGTGTGTGTGT